ATGCACGTTTGACAATGTTTTAATCCATAGATGTCATCACTACCTTGATTTTAGCTTTCAGGGACTTAGTGTGTGGTGTTAGGGGTTCTATTAGTATTCCGTTCGACGATGCCCCGTACAAAATAATCCAACGGATTGATATCGGGATTGCTTAAGGGCCAAATTTCTTTCTCCCAAAATTCCGAAATATTTTCCGCAAGCCATTTATGTGTTTTATTAGCAGTATGAGCAGGTGCTCCGTTTTATCACTTTCCCAGGCCTTTTTTATATTATACACTGTTCTTTCAGACACATTTATCCACCGAATTATTTCTATTACGCTTACTCCGGCGCGCAACACCTTACACCTAACAGTATGAGCAATTCAGTGCTGCCAAATATATCTAAATCATGATCCGCAAGCATGAGAAATTACTATTTGAAATTTACTGCAAAAATTCGTCACGCACCCTGTAATTATTAATTCTTAAATAAAGGCATTTATTTATTTATTAAACCATTGAAACATTTATTTTTTCTTTATTGATCTGTTTATATCATTAAATTTTCAAATATGTTAATTATTTAATTATTTTTAAATTAAACAAATGAATAATTAAATACATTTTTAAATTTAAATGAAAATAAAAAAAATTAATGATTTTTGTTTTTGAACAAGTTCAAAAATGTTTTTATTTATTCATTTGTTTAATTTAAAAATAATTAATTAATAAATATATTTAAAACTTTATTTATTTATTTTTTTATTTGTTTCTTATAAAGTTTTATTTATTCATTTATTGATTCACCGAATTATTTATCAAGCTATTTATTAATTTTTTATACCATGCAATGTTAGTTAAATTTATTTTAAATATGTTTCTTTAATTTATTTAATTATTTATATATGGATTTATTTGTAAAATGATTATCTATTGATTTATTAATTTATTTATTTTTGTATTAAGGAATGCATTATTTTAATTAATGTATTGATTTCATAATTATTTATTGGTGGATTGTCTCCTAATTCATTCATTTGTTTGTTTTAGTATAATATATATTTTTTCTTTTAGTTTAATATTTTATTTATTCATAGATTGATTAACTTCCGATTTATTTAAATATTTATTTACTTATTTATAAAAAAAAAGTTGAAACATACTCAGAGGTTAACACATAACATCGCCAAGAGACGTGTGTGTGAGAAAACTTGGGAAATACTGTAAGAGTGCCGGTTACTTATTTATTTTCTATTTTATTTTATTTATTTAACAATTTCCAATGGTCTACATCAGTTAATAAATAGGGGAAATGCAGGTAATGTCGGCCTAAGTGTCCCTAATTTGGGCCCATACATAAATTCAGCAATCGACTAAATTTTCAATAGCAACCAAAATTATCCATTAGAAACGTCCCAATAACGCGTTCATTTAGATACAATTGATAAAAAGCAGATTTTTAGCGATGGGCCCAATCTTAGATCCATAGGCCAACATTAGAGACATTTCCCCTATATAAATTATTATAAATAATTTTTTTTTTCCTTGATTCATTTCCGTCGATCTTGTTTTCCGCAGGCCTGCTGGGGTGATAGATAATCACGCTTACCACCACACCACTTGCGCCGCTGATTATTTTTTTAAATAATATTATTTTTTATTTACTAAACTATCTACCTCTTTAATATTTATGTTATTTTTTATTATATTGGTTAGGGGAAAAGTTGGCTTCGGAAATACCTTAACCTATTACCGCCAGGGAGTAAACAACGTCCTTGAGAGCTCAATTCTGGCATGTGGATACATTGTGTTTCAGAGCAACTATTGGCCAAATTTGAGTGTTCTAGGACTTTGTTTACCCCCCTGACGATAATAGGTTAAGGTATTGCCAAAGCCAACTTTTCCCCTAAGTCTTTCATTTATTTTTTTATTTAGCAATGTTCTGTATCTGGTTTATTCATTTATTTTTGATTTTTTTTTTCTATTAAAACATTTAGGTATTTAGTTGTTTTTCTTTTGTTGGATTCATTAATTTATCTCTTTAGGGGCTGTTCATAAACTATGTAGACAGTTTAGGGGGGAGGGAGGTTGACACTTATCCACGGCCCATACAAATTTAAAAAAAAATGTATGGACAATTGTCTACGCAGGGGAAGGGTCCCAAAAGACTGTCAACGTAGTTTATGGACAGCCCCTTATCTATTTATTTATATATTTACAGTTTTTTATTTATATTTCATTTTATTTTATATTCTCTTGTTTTCACGTCTTCTTCTTTATTAACTTCCCTTTTTTTATTTTTTATTATCTTCTTTTTTCACCACCTTTTTTCTCTGTAGCCTTCGTGCGTTTCTTACTATCCGCCATGTTTTCGATTTGCTCCAATTGCCGCTTCACTTCGTCTGCGTCCTTATAATGCTCTTCTCGTCTTCGGTTGCTTGTTTTTCTTCAATTACTTCTCTCTTCTTTACATCTCCTTCGCAATTTTCTTGCTTCGTCTTGAATCCGTGTCTTCTTCTTGCCTTCTCCGGACATTCTTCTGGTTTGCATTCTTCATCCGCATCTTCGCCTTTTTTCATTTATTTTCGCTCAGTTACATTTCCATTAATCTTCTTCTGCTCGGGCTTCTTCTGTTTACTCTCCATCATCTTCTCAGTTTCTACATTTTCGTTTGCCCTCTTCTTCGTCAGCTTTCTTCCTGTTATCCTTTTCATCTTCTTCCGTCCTCTTCACCACGTTTCATCCGTTCCGTCCGGCTGGTTGATTCAATATCGTATTTCACTCTGGCTGTTTCGAACTTCCTGCAGTGGCGGACAACAGTCCCACAGCATTCGCAAACTGGTGGTGATGATTTTTTCAGCAAAACTCGTGTGTAAGCCTTGTATGGCCAATCCGCAGTCGAGTGAGCACTCGCTGGTCGGTGGAACTTTGCTGGTCAGTCCACTTTTCGGATTCGTATTTAACCTCCTTCAACTTGACTGCCGTTAATTGCGCCCCAGCGTTCTTCCCAGCTCCAACACCTGGATCCTACTTCCCTGGCGTGATCAGAGATTTGTCTCAGAAAATCCCGACAACGCCGATTGCGATTGAGCACAGGCCCTTTGGAGTGAGAGGCAGTCACGATTACCATAACACCACTGATCAATTGAGATTGAAAATAAGTAAAACTAATTTCATGATAATTTCGGGGAATCGAATAAATGAGAACTTCTTTCTTGTATTGCTTGTTGCTATTAATTGTGTTCGGAAGATGGTACTGTGTATAGGAGCGATCTGTCAATTTGTTAGTTTTGTGTCACAAAGCGAAGTGATTATTAAAACGAAGCTCTTTCAGATGATGTAAGCTACGAACGCAGTGTTCCAAAAATCATTTGAATTTCATACACAAGGATCAATCAAATCAAAACCTTTCATCAGCAACAAATCAAACAATCTGCAACGCGCTTCATCAGCAATGCATTCGGACGGCGATTCTACTCCCCCACATATCTAAGGCACGTTTCTTTAGTGCGGCCTCTGTAACTTATGGCAATTAAAATGCAATTCATTATTGTTTTGGACTTGGAATAGATAATATCTAGGTAGATCCTTTTCATAAAACCATGTGGTTTTAACTTGTGTAGTAACCGATATATTTTTCAAAAACAAAGATCCCAATGGACTGTATTCTATATTTTGTTACCTAGGTAAGATGCAAATTTTCTGTTTTCTGAAAAGGTGTTCACATGAACAAGGTTCACAAGATAGCGAATAATTTAGTTTTGAAACATTGTATACAATTTTCTCGGCAGTTGAGTTGAACAAAATTACCTCGGGAAGAAAATGATACATGCAGGATTTACATCCCAGTCCTTGAAGTATCCCAAACAACTAAACACATGCACACTGTCAAGTGATCAAAGAGCCTTGTTTTCCCCTCCTCTGGATCCCCATCCACGTCCATCCCCCTGCTAGGCTAAAGTGATAAATGGTCAAGACATTGCAATCCGCTGACTGTCTGTCGCAAGAGAAGCCACCAAAACGACCGTCCACCCAAAAATGTCCTTCCGAGAACGTGTGCTTTTTGTATGAGCACTTTTGGGACTGTTCCAACAACCAACAAGCGGCCCTACGAGTAAGACGGGAAAATGTACTGCGCCTATGTGCTTTGAATACCGTGCCGACCGAGAACCGGAGAAGTTCGGTTGCAAATTTCCATTTCCGTTCCGGCTGTTTCCCTTCCCAAACCATGGAAGGACTTTTCCCGCATGACTTGGTGTCGAGCAACGCTATTACGAATTTATACGCGTGTAATCTCCACACCCTGAGCGTGTGAAACTTCTGGTCCCAGCCCAAATGGAAAGGATGGGGAGCTATGTGGGTGGGTGGGTGGTCTGACGAATGGCAGCAGAAAATTCCAACAAGGTGCCTGTTGGTGGCACACACTGTTGCTTCCCCCCAAAAGCGTAGTCGGTCGCCGTCGTGACGCCACCTTTTTGCACTGCTTTCCAATCCAGGTTATGTGTGAGAGTTCTACCTACGTAGGTCGGTTGGCACACGGTCCTGTGTCGGTGATATATGAGATGATAAAATTTTAAATGTAAATGCAATTAAAAACTTTTATTATGAGTCTCGGCGGAGGTGCGTTCGCCATTTAGCGGAGAGGTAAATGCTGGCAGTCTGAAATTTCAGCGAATTGAAGAGTGGCAGATGGTTCGTGGAAAGACAAACGATGTAATAATGGCTACAATGAAACAAGTTGGGTTGGTGGGGCAAAACAGGAGGCCGGCAATGATCCGTGGAATGAATTGTTAATCCTTCATTTCAGGATTGGGAAATGGAACGTAAATATTTGTGATGAATATCCATCTGTGCGAGACGCTGCGATCGGATGGCTTATGATATAACATCTGAATAATGATGACAGAAATACAGAAAATTTATTGGTTTCTTGAAAGATTTTTGAATTAATTTTTTGGTTTTCCGATTTTTTAAATGAATTTTAAATTCACTGTTTGTTTTCTGATTCTTTCATTGCAGCATCCGTGGGCAAACAGATTAAAGGCGGCTATCTATTGCGATACAAAAGTAAGTATTTTAGAATTTCAACAACTCATGAAAGTTCAAATTTCCAACTCTGCCGACGGTTTCACAATAAATCACATCTCATAATTGATTTCGTTCGGTAACCCTTACACTTGCATTCGAACCGAACATCTCCGGCAGCTGCTGAAAATAGTTCGCACTGCTGCCATTCCGCACTGAATTCCATCGGGATCAACGAGGCATCCCCAAAGACCATAAATCTTCCTTTGGGATTCCAACATCCACCAGCTCAAATTACTGACCATTCTCACCGTCTCTCCCTAATTCCACAAACATCTCAACCGTGACAGGTTGAGGAAGTGGGAGAGAGAGACTGACCATCCGTAATGTGTCCCCGCGTGTTCATTCGTGCCAGGCAGCACCATACGGTGGATGTCATAATCAATCATCGTTCGCGTTCAACGGTACGAAGTGGTGGTGGCAGAAACTGGAAAAGCTGTTGGACGTCGCACTTCATATCGCGTCTCACTGTAAGCTGCAGCAGCTGTGACATTTTGCTACCCTCCGATGATGACGACGGAGGCAATATATTTCATAAGAAAACGATTTGGAGCCTCAATTTAGACTAATGCCATGGAACAATGTTCATTCCATTTCCATTCCATTTCCATTCCATTTCCATTCCATTTCCATTCCATTTCCATTCCATTTCCATTCCATTTCCATTCCATTTCCATTCCATTTCCATTCCATTTCCATTCCATTTCCATTCCATTTCCATTCCATTTCCATTCCATTTCCATTCCATTTCCATTCCATTTCCATTCCATTTCCATTCCATTTCCATTCCATTTCCATTCCATTTCCATTCCATTTCCATTCCATTTCCATTCCATTTCCATTCCATTTCCATTCCATTTCCATTCCATTTCCATTACATTTCCATTCCATTTCCATTCCATTTCCATTTCCATTCCATTTCCATTCCATTTCCATTCCATTTCCATTCCATTTCCATTCCATTTCCATTCCATTTCCATTCCATTTCCATTCCATTTCCATTCCATTTCCATTCCATTTCCATTCCATTTCCATTCCATTTCCATTCCATTTCCATTCCATTTCCATTCCATTTCCATTCCATTTCCATTCCATTTCCATTCCATTTCCATTCCATTTCCATTCCATTTCCATTCCATTTCCATTCCATTTCCATTCAGTTTCCATTCCATTTCCATTCCATTTCCATTCCATTTCCATTCCATTTCCATTCCATTTCCATTCCATTTCCATTCCATTTCCATTCCATTTCCATTCCATTTCCATTTCAATTTTTCACTAAAATTTCGTTCTTACTTCGATTTTACTTCTTTTCCTATTCTGATTTCTTTTCCATTTTTTCCAAAACTGCAGATCTTGGTTTCATAATTTACCTAAAACTCTCGTACCCTTGCTAAAGTTTCCGGTAATTTCCTGATTTTCTCAGAACAGCGATAATTTCACTGAGGTTAATTGAACTGCCTTGATATTCTCTAATCTTCTCTGATGTGCTTGAAATTTTCCCAAAGTTCTCGTAATTCTCCTGAAGAGCTTCTCTGAAGCTCTGAAATGAATGGAAACTTCCGAAAAAACTATAATTATTCCTGAAGCTCTCATGACTTCTATGAATTTCTTGAAATATTTCTTAAGTTCTTTGTAGTTTTCTGGACTTCCATGAAATATTTCTGAGCTTCTTGAAACTGTCTTCCCCATTTTGGAACTAACCCAGATCATAACACTTCTCCAAAAGTTTAGCCATTCCTCAAATTCTCTGAAATCCCTGAATTAATTGGAGCTTCTTTTATGTTTTCATAATTTTCCTCAAGTTCTTCGGACATCGCTGAAGTGCTCTTGACTTCCTAGCTAAAAGTTCTCCGAATATTCCTGACATTCTTAGAACTTTTTAAACTGCCTTACATCACTTGAAGTTTCCTAGGAGAGCCCAAAACTTTTACAGAAGATTAGAAAACTTTCCTCATGTTCCTGCAGTCAGTTCAAAAAACATTTTCAAAGTTCCTTAAATTTTCGTGAAGTTATCAGGACTGCCCCAAAGTTGATGAGGTTCATATAATAACCCAGAAATTTAAGGAGCGGTTCTAAATATCTCTGGAATTGTCCGAAAAATGTCCGAAAATCTATAACCATCCGTGAAGCTCTCAAGAGTTCAAGGAAGTTCCTGAAATATTTCCATGCTCCTTTGTAGTTTTCGGGACTTCCCAGAAATATTTATGAAATTCTCGGAACTGTTTTGTATATTTTGGAACGTACCCTTGCATATCCTAATTTTTCCCAAAATTCTGAACATTCCTCAATATATCGGAATATCCCGGAAGTTATTGGAACCGCACTCAAGATCTCTGAGCATCCTTGAAGCTTCCCAGAGCTTCTGGAAACTTCTTCTAAGTTTTTACAATTTTCCTCAAGTTTGTGGGACATCTATGAAGTATTCTTGACTTCCTAAAAGTTCTCCGAACATTCCTGAAGTTCTCAGAACTTTTTAAAAATTGCTGTAGATTTACTGAAGCTAATTGTAACTGCCTTAAAGCTCTTAAAGCTTCCTCCCAAAACTGTTCCAGAAGTTCAAGAAACTTCCCAGAAGTTCTCGGAACTTCTTCAATGTTCCCAAAAATTTTCGTGAAGTCCAAAGTAAAATAAGACTGCCCAAAAGTTCTCTATTATTACCTGAACTTCTCATTATTCTCTTGATGACGTTTGAGGAATATTCCAGATATGTATATAACTGAACTTCTCTGAAATTTTTATCACTTCTATAGGTTCCCGATGTTTTCCTAAACTTAATAAAACTGTCCTAAGGATATCGAAATTTCCCTGAAGTACCCGCAATTTTTTCTGATGATCCTCAAGCAGTGGAAAATAAATGCAGCAACTTGGTTGTAACTAAACCAAGTCACATAGAAGTTAACTCAACTGTTTTGCTGTTTGCTGTGAGCTGCTAGGGCCATGAAACTGTTGGTGACTGTTACGTCAGAGACGCTTTCACACTGAACATCAGCAAAAAGAGAAAAGAGTCATACCTTGGATTTTATTTACCTTGCTTTTATTTTTGACATATAACCGTTTGTCTACTTGAATAAACACGTTTCGGTAATAAACAAGTGTTCGAGTTTCCATATATTCCTACGTGATTGAAAGTTCCCTGCGGTCGTTTCTCTGCTTTGGCCATTACTTTATCAACAGGTTATGGGCCCAGTTACGGAATTTGCGGAATCAGTTCGGTTTCGGCGGTGAAAAAACGGATTTTTTTGTTTGTGTTGTTTTGGTGTCTTCGGCTGGTGCAAAAGCTGGGCTGTGTGGTGTGGAGTTGTCACTCCCAGAAAGTTGCTGGATGTGAGCAGGATGGCGGATGTTGGGAAGTTCTCAATCATCAAGCTCGGGAACAGCAACTATGGAACTTGGAAGTTCCAAATGGAAATGTTTTTGACCAGAGAGGAACTTTGGCACACGGTGGATGAAGTAAAACCGGAACCGGAGACAGAAGCTTGGCGGAAAGCGGATAAAAAAGCCAGAGCCACTATTGGATTGTGCATCGAGCAGAGCCAGTACCCTCTCATCAAAAATTGCAGATCAGCGAGAACGGTATGGGATGCGTTAAAGGCGTATCATGAGAAAACGACAATGACGTCCCAGTTGTCGTTGTTGATCCGACTTTGTGATTCAAAGCTCGCGGAATCTGGAGACGTCGAAAAGCATCTTCTGGAAATGGATACGCTGTTCGACAAGTTGGAAAATGCTGGCTTGGATCTGGAGGAAAAGCTGAAAATTGCTATGGTTTTGAGAAGCATGCCGGAGTCGTACCACTTCTTGGCATCAGATTTGGAGGCTCGGCCGGACGCCGATATCACCATGGAGCTGGTTCGTTCGAAGCTCATGGATGAGTACCATAAACGGATGGAGCGGAGCGGAAAGTCGTCGTCGAAGGAACAGGTGCTCAAGACACAGAAAGCGAGCACGGAGAAACTCTGCTATTTCTGCAAGAAACCCGGTCACTTCAGGCGGGATTGCAGGAAGTGGCAGGCGCAGACGAATGCGGCTGGAGGCGAATCTTCTGGAAGTCAACCAACGGGCAAGAATCAGGCAGGCAGGCGACCAATAAGGATGAAGTTGCTGCAGTGTTTTCGGTGATAGAAAAAAAGTGAATCCACTAGTTTGGCAAAAAGAACAAGTGCTTGGACAGTTGATAGCGGTGCGTCGTGCCACATGACCTGCGACGAGCGGTTTTTTGATGAATTGGTCGAGTCACCGAAAGCACAGGTGTCAATGGCCAACAGAAACAGTGCACGGTCAGGCGGTTTTGGCAGCGGCTCTGTCAGAGGTGTCACGGGAGCAGGATCCGAAGCTCGGAAAGGTTCTCTATGTGCCTGGGTTGGACAGTGGGCTGCTGTCCGTCTGCAAAATAGCGGACAAAGGCTATAATGTTTTGTTCAAGCGTGACAGCGTCGAAGTCATTGACCAGTCGAACAAGGTGATTGCGCTGGGAGGACGTAGTGGTGATTTGTACGAGTTGAAGCAGACCGAGTGCGCAGCGGTGGTTAAACAGAAGAACCAGACCATCAATTGCCAGCATACGTGGCATCGGCGGTTCGGACATCGGCATCATTCGGTGTTCGACAGGATCAAGAATGAGGAGCTCGTGCTAGGGATGAAGATGGTCGACTGCGGCGCAAGAGTCGTGTGTGAGCATTGCCTGGAAGGAAAAATGACGCGCTTACCATTCCCGCAGCAGTCGGTACTAAAAACCACACAGCCTCTGGATTTGATACATACGGACCTGTGTGGTCCTATGAGCAACACGACGGTCGGAGGGCGTAAGTACTGTATGACCCTTATCGACGATTACAGCCGTTATCTCGTCTTGTACTTGCTGACAGATAAGGCTCAGGCGAAGAATTGCATTAAGGGCTACGTGCGGTTGGTGGAAAACAAGTTTGGACGAAAGCCGCGGATTATTCGTTCCGATCGCGGCAGTGAATTTGTCAACAAAG